GATTTCAATAGAATACACAGTGAAGACTTCTGTTCTCAGAACAGAATTCTTCTTAGATTTGTGAGCTTCAAACCTCGTCTCCCTTCTTATCTTTTTAGAAATTCTACGAGGGACATTCTGTTTGAATGGACACAGAGCAGAGTCAATCCGGTGTCTAGGGGGATATCCCTTCAACATTTATCACTAAAAACAAATTAATCTGTCACTTAGTTTAATCTAAAAATCATGCTAGTCGCCTCTTTAATAATTGCAGGTTGAAATTTTTAGAACAATATTGAATTGAGCTTTAGGCAGAACTATCCCACTGTTAACCTGTCATCCTGTGTTTGCTTGTTTGTACCGAAATCTGTTGAAAAACAATGATTATTGACAATTTATAGGGGCCATTTATTGACCTTGAACTGAGGGTTAATCTGCTCAACCTTAACATAGATCCTAGTTGCAGATACTTTGATGAAGCTTGAACCTCAGTGAGCAAGAATGATTTCTTAACAGATATTGCAAATAATCTCAAGTAAAATTCTGTCACCTATAATCTTCGTGAGTTTTCTTTAAATTCTCTTTCTAAACTTGTATTTTTTTTTATACTCTGCACATTTAGTGCTTTAAATATTTGGCAAAAAAAAAAAAATTGGGGGATTTGGGATTGTGTTCTTTACAACATCAAGGCGTAAACTTGAGCAACCTGAGAGGTTGACTCCGTCTCGGAAGACAGTTTACTGAGATTGAAAAAACACTGGTTTGGGAACCAGGAAGCCTGGCTCTGCCAAACTGTGGACAAGTTATTTAATCTTTCTGGCCATTCATGTCCTCGTCTGCAAGATGACCCAGTCATTTTAGTCTATGATCCTTTCTGTTTCTGAATATTTAAAGATATACTGTTTTAAAATACTCTGGCATTTCTCATAAAGCCCTTTCCCATACATCTTATCATTTTGTCCTCAAAAGAAGCCTAAAGTGGATAAGGCTGGTCTTAACAGATAGAGAAGCTGGATATCATTTTAACTTTGGTAACTAAGATAGTGGGAAATTAGGTGATTGGCAAAGATTACTCTCTGATAAGTGACAGAGCTGGAACAAGAACTCAGGTCTTCTGACCACAGTGAATGCCTGCAAAGACCACGAAAAGATGCAAGAGACAGTATAACTACGTGGAATCATTAATTATGTGCACCAATTTTTGATATGAATATGGGGTAATTACGAGGGATTGAAAGATAACAGCTGAGCTCTGGGTGGGTCAGTCTGAGGCTGCAGTGTGGAAAAAAGTTACGATGCAGTTATGGCCACTCCTTACCAGAAATGTACAGATAAGCTGCAGGCAGTAGGGGACAAAGCCATGAGGAAAGTCAAGGAAGTGGCAAGCTCTCACTACTCAGCTAGGTAAAGTAGGAGAACTCATGGGCTAAAAACATTTGAAAAGCAATAGCATACGGAAAGCATAAGGTATGTTGAAAAGAATTAAAACTAGGAAAGGATATAAACTTGATGGTTAGATTGCAATAAAAAATGTTTGTGACTGCAAAATTATATGCCAAAATGAGTGATAGAATTTAGGAAATGCACATTGAAATATGAAGGGGTAAAGGGCATGATGCAGGGAACCTTCTCCCAAATAGTTCAGGGGAAAAAAAGTATGTGCGTAGCTCAAACCAGAATGCTTTCTGCTTTCTTTTGCTGTCTGACACAATTATTCCTGATTGGGAAGTAAAATCGCCCCCCCCCCCCAGTTCCATAAGGATATGGGAGATCAACAAAGATGATAGACAGAAGGTACCAGCGATGTTTACATCCTGGCATGAGGCCCCTTTCATGAGAGTGATGTGCTAAGCTCCTGTTTGGCTCACGGTTCCCCTGAAGATCAACTGAGCTGATGAATGAGAAAGTACTGGGTAACGACAATGAGAAAATAAAAGTGAAAGCATTCCTGAACTGTGGCAATGTAACTATAATGTAGACACAATTGTTCCTATTAAGCTAAAAGAAAGCCAAGGTTACCACTGAAAAAGAACCATCAAAGTGGTAGACTTGTTTTTTTATACTATAAGCACATAATAGACACTTCTTCAGAGACACAAAGCATTGAAGAGACCTATTTTGTGTGTGGCTGGAGTATCTACAAATCTGAGAATTATCCTATTCATTTCTTTTCAAACATTAAATTCATTTGCTGTTTTAATGAAAGCATTCCAGCTAAAATATTCAGTGCAGCAGCCAGGCTTTTCCACTGTTCCCTGAGTGCACCCCCAAAGTTTAAAACTTAGTCTTCATTTTCATTTGTCATGTACTAACATG